TTTTTTGCCGCATTTTCCAATTGTGCTTGGGCACTGGTGTCACTCCCAGCGACTGGAAATAAGCAAACGTCCCGCTTCTACACAAAAGTGGACATAAAACTACGTTGCGAAATATAGGCCTGTGTCCTTGTCCCAAATTACTTGAAAGTAATGACGCATGTTGTATATTACTCTATTCTGTCACATCTTGTTAAGCACAATTTATAAAGGGTAAAGCAACGCGGCTTCAGGCAATGTTTTGGTTTTGTTGTAGTAGGCCGCTAGTAGAATTCACCCATGAATTGATGTTAGCAATAGACAATGGCAAGGGATTGATTGCATCTTTGTAGATTTTTGTAAAACATTTGACTTTCTGGTTCATGGCCGAAACTATCAGCAAGTTACACGCCGTACAAACTGAACAAAAAACAAATTTAGGAGTATAGGGATACTATTCACATAAAGAACAGTTCGTGGTTCTTAATCGTATCTTTGTTATATCACTGCAGTGACTTCTGGAGTAGCCCAAGCGCTGTGGTCTGTTGGCTAATGTGCTCAGCTTCCTGGCACGCAGGTCAAGGGATTGAATCCCGGCTGTGGCAGCTGCATTTTTGATGGAGACGAGAATGTTGTAAGGCACTGTGCTCAGATTTGGGTGCAGGTTATAGAACGCCATGTGGTCGAAATTACCGGAGCCCTCTACTACAGTGTCGGCGTATGATGCTTTTGGGACGTTCAATCCCACCTACCTATCAATCAATCAAACCTCAGGAGTACCCGAAGGCATTGTCTTGGGGCCTCTCCTACTTAATTGTGATAGCAATTATACGGACGCTCCTGTCTGAATTTTGCCGTCATCGTCAGCGTCGACCCCGCCATCATTCATTGTATATGCATGCGTATATATATATATATATATATATATATATATATATATATATATATATATATATATATATATATATATATATATATATATAGCACAATAAAGGTAAATAATCTCGAAAAATATTCTAGTGCACGGAAATTGAACGTCTGACTTCTTGCTTGATGAGTGCGTGACGTTAGCCACTGACCCACGAAGGAGCACCACCATCAACGTTGAAACAGGAGGCTATTTATACCTACCTACCGGAGGAGATGCCCAGCTTGGGAAAAGAATCCTGTCTTCAGCACTACCAGGGAGATGGCGTAATGAGCACCCGTCGCCAGATCGTCACGACGCGGCGATGCATGCTCGTGCTTTGATCTGCCACGCGGACTTTGCCCCGCGGGGAGTTTGGTGGAAGGGAGGGGGATATACGCTCACGCGTGCACGCGTTTATCTTCCGATGGGGAGAATCGTACGCGTTGGGCTTTCACCAGAACGATTTTGTTGCAGTTACTGGGTGCACAACGGTTACTGCACTTGCTGCACAGTCTCGATTTGCTATAAGGGCATCATTTTCAGACACGGCAAAATAATAGCTTATACACTTACTCGCGTTCATATCTGCTTGACAATACATTTCGTGAGTCATTTGTGCGAGAGCAACGTGGGGCAAATTTAGATCTGCTTGCCACTCTTCGCGTATTCTTCCAATTTTTTGCTGTCGCATTCAATGCTCCGTCTTTGCGGCAAAGCTGTGACCTTTTAATAAATATATAAATAATATCGCTCGCGTCATTACGTCATCTTTCAGGATGTTTGCCGATGGCCTCGCCAGCGTTGGTCTTGTACCTAAGGTACTCGGCTGCTGACCCGCAGGTCGCGCAATCAAATCCCGGCTGCAGTGGCTCCATTTCCAATGTAGGCGAAAAAGCTGTAGGCCCGTCTTCTCCAATTTAGCTGCACGTTAATGAAGCCCAAGTGGTCGAAATTTAGGGAGCCCTCAACAGGGCGTTTCTCATATTCATATGGTGCTTTTGTGACGTTGAACTCCGCATATCAATCAATCAATCGATCATCAATCGATGCTTGCCGATAACTGTTCTAAGAAGTTATTAATAGTGAACCTGAATCTCATGCCTTTCAGAGTCATTCAGATAAAGTTTCAACCAGTTTCACAAAATGGTAAATGTCGCAAATGCCTCGAACTGTTTAAACATGGCCTTTACAAAGAAACACATAACATGGCAGTTGCATGAGTACAAAATAAATAACGTTACTTTACCTAAAGTCGAGGATTACCGCCGCGGTTGTCTAGTGGCTAAGGACACTAGGCTACTGATCCACCAGCCGTGGGATAAAATCCCGGATGCGGCGGCTGCATTTTCCATGGACGCGAAAGTGCTGTAAGCCCATGCGCGAAGATTTGGACGCACGTTAAAGAGCCTGAAGTCGTCGAAATTTCCTGATTCCTTCACTGCTGCGTCTGTCATATTTATATGGTGGTTCTGGAAAGTTGAGACCCACATAACAATATTTACGTAAGGTTAGAAAATGAGTATACTTACGTTTCTACCCTATTGAAAAAACGTCCACCATAGGAATGGTGAATTCCACCATCCACCATTTTGGTGGATTATAGTGGTGGAATTAGTGGCACATGGTGTATGGTGGCGTATGGTGGAGCGGATGGTGGATGGCGTGCTCCAGCCGGCAATGCTGGAGCGTGAAGCAGCGTCAGAACCACCGTGACGAGGTGCCGCTAAAGAAATATTAAAAATAATTGTATATAAAGAATGTATCAAGCACCCGTAAAAAAGGGTGCGCTAGCGTGAAATCGAACCTGGCGCCTCCGAATTTTTAACTGAGTACACTAACCACTGTGTCACGCCAACAGATGGTGATGTTGGTGTTAAAGAAGTTCTGCAGAAGGTGCAGATCCCGTCCCTCCCAAGTAAACGAGAAACGGAACTTCAGTTCTGTTTCTTGTTTACTTGGGAGGAACGGGATCTGCACCTGCTAATAAAATTTGCACATTTGATAAACACAAGCGACTGCTGCCTGTAACGATTGCCACTGCGATAATAGAGAGTAATAGCTAAGCGACTAAGCGGGCCAGCGGGTCTAGCGGAGTAGCGGAGATGCCAGCTGCGCATGCGCGGCACGCCGGGGCAGCCAGCGTCTTTGCGGAGAGAGTCGCTCACCCGCTCATTGTGTCTCCTCAGCGCAGCGGACGAGCGTGGGAGCGTGTTCAAAAGGGCAGCCCCCAACACAAGTGGCGGCGGCATGTCTTCGGCGGCACCTCTAACCCCCGTATTCACAAATGCTCCTCGACTCGACTTTCACCCTTCACTTGACAGATATCAGCACTGCGCCACTTCTCGGCTGCAAATGACGCTGCGCTGCTCAAGAATCGCACCACATTATCGCTGATATGCAGTGACTTGCCGTGCCAAGGGAGGGCGCTTCCATCGGCTTTCTCAAGTGAAGGTGCAGCGTTGAGTGAAGGGACGTTCTAGAATACGGGGGTAAGCGCTGTGGAGGCTCAGCTGCTGGCGAAAAGGCCCCGGCGGTGCTTTACTACTGAAGATGACTTGTAAATTTTAAGGGAAGTGTCAGCGGTGAAGCCCTTTGGCGACGATTTACAGTGGATCTGTATGATTGGCAACTTAAAACCTGTGATCGGCTGGGAGATTACTCTCAGAAGCCTAAAAGATCGTGTAGATCTTTTAATCGGTTACTGGAGGCAAGAAGACACCAGGACTTAAGAAGGTAAGAACCAATTTTCATGTATTGTCCGCGCAGATAGCATTTAATCCCGCGCGAGAGCTGTCCAACGTGCACGGCAACGCCGGAAAGGCTTAAAGCCGTTCGCGCCTCCGACAAGCATAGTCGCACTGTCAAAAGCAAACTCTGGTTGTCCACGTCGAATCTATCAAGCGGCCACCGTGCGCTCTGTAGCTTGTAAGCTCCGAATTGATGCTTACACTCGCTTCAGATTCATGTCCTTAAGCTTCGACAGCAACGTATTCGTCCCCATTCGGCGTCCTTTTTGAGAGCCATCGCCGTGCCGCTAGCGTGAGCGGGTATTTAGATACTTCTTTTAGAGAGAAGCAAGCCTCCTGTAACATGCTCACATTTCGCTTTGCAGGTCGGGAACGGAGGAACAATATGCCAAAAAAGAGCAGATACTGCAGGACCTGTCGGAATAAATAAGGTCTATAAATTATGTCCCCGGAATACCGCCTAGAAGGTCAAACAGCTCTGGCCGCAAAAGAAGTCACGCAGCTGCATCCTGTCTGGTGACGCCGCCGGAACAAGTTCGTGCAGATGAAGGTTAAGGTGAGTGTAGCAGTAAAGCCTCATATCTCTGAAATCGATAAATTGGTTCTACGATCATAGACATGTGTACGCATATCTTGCGACACTCGAAGTATCTCGCACTCTATAACGTGCTTGCATATTTGCAACCACTGAAAAAGAAATGGAGCACTCTTTCTGCCCTGCCTGCCAACTCTATTGATTATCATAGTGACAGTAATGAAAATCAATAGTTTGCAGTGATCCCAAGCAGCAGGTGCATTATCATGTAACCGACCCAACTCATTAATGAAGTTGCCAATCCATGAACTTGCATAACAACGGTGCGCATTGTTCACTTGTGGTTTTGAGTAAAAGTAGGTCTGTAATAGTTTGTTTCACTATTTAACATTACCGAGAACATGCAAAGTAAACTTTCAAAGTGTGATTCGCATGTGAGCTCACAATTTCATTCATTACATTAATTAGCAATTTGGACGACTATGTATTGTTGTAATACAAGAAAGTTATTCTCTACTGGGGGTTCCCAATGTGCCAGAGTTGTAATGAATGTGCTAGTGTGCTATTATCTGACATCTTCCTGTTTTCCATTATGCATTACAATCAGGACATGCTGCACAACTCCGGCTCTCAATGACCGCCCCGCGCAGTCCTGCTGCTATTGAACTCGCTGGAGAGCCGTGCAACAAGGAGGAGGAGGAACAGCAACACCACCACCACCAGCAGCAACAATAACAACAGCAGCAGCAGCAGCAGCAGCAACAACAACAACAACAACAACAACAACAACAGCAGCAGCAGCAGCAGCTGCAGCGGCAGCCACAACCACCGCCTGCAGCTAGGCAACGAGTTCTTGTAACGGCGAGTAGAGGTAAAGTCTTGAAGGACTCTTTATTCACGTCGTAACATGCTGCAATAGTGCCAAAAAATGCAGTACAAATGGGCAACATGATGTCTCTGTAGAGTCTAGAACATTGGGCTCCCTGGTTTCACTATATGCAAGACCAACTAGTCCCAATACTTTACATTCATTGCTAGAACACTGGTAGCATGTGAACATCACGTTTAAAATGAACATGGCATGCAGACACAGACACATGAATGGTTGTCGTTAGTGTTATTTTTAGACGAGTGACACAACTCTGAAAAGTAACTCAGGACAACACTGTGATGCGGGTCTTGGCCATGATTTACAATCTGTATGTACTACAAGCAAGGTGAAAAGAGTGATCGCTTCCTTTACCACGCATAAGTGGGAGTTTTGGATGAGGTTAGCATACGACAAGTGGAAACTTTGACCCTCTCTCTACATTGAACACTGTAAATAGCAGTAATCGAACAGTTTTTATTTTGTCGTTACACGAAATGTCAGGATCCAAGCAATGGCTGCGGTGTTATCAATCTTCGGGGATCACTCTGCTGAAGCACAAAATAGATTATCACTAAATTATGTGCGATAGCATAGAGTTGAAGGTTGTAATGTCTGTGTTACGAGTCCATCAAATTAGCTTTTATGACATGTGATATGCATATGTGAACTGACTTACTGAATGGCCTCATTTTCCAAAATTTGCAGGAATCAGAGGCCTACAAAGCATGGGCTTACAATTGTTGACTATGCGTCAAACGCATGAATTTGAGATCTGGCAAGGGAACTTGCAGTGGAAAACAAAAAAAAATTGGAGATTGAAGAGAGACGATTGGCTCTGGAGGAGCGCAAGCTGGCACTTGCCTGAAAAAAAGCACGAACTTGAGGTTACAAGTCACCAGCAGGAACGCCTGGACTTTGTGAAGCACGTGGAACAGATGTTCGATAAACTCAGCCAAGAAGTAACAGACCTAACAAGAAAAATGTCTGGAAGCAGTTGAATAATAAAAAAGCGATTTGTTGCACACTTTATTCTTTTAATAAGCAAAGGGATTCCCCAGTGCCACATTGAAAGCTGTCCATAAAGTTAACGGGCATTCAAGTACACTTCCAAGGATGGTGGTTGCAGATCAAAGTATTGCGAGACCTGTGCACCATACAGGCAAGTATGGCAGTTTGCCAGCAATGCGCTCGCTTTGTACATCCTTGCAACATTCTGGCGGAAGATCTTTTGGTTTTTTCGGAAATCTACAAAGGCAAAGAGTCCAGCAATTTTTCCGAAGCCCCATTCCACGGCCCTGCCTGACGCTGCTCATTGCCTTCTTAAACGCACATTGCTCCGGGGTCTAAGATGCACCACCGTAAGGTTTTAACAGAAATGGCCGCAATGGGTAAGCCGAGTCCCCGTAAAGACAGTAGTGGTGTCCCTGCACCAGCTTTTCAGTTTAGTGTACACCTAGCTGTTGCCAAAATTACCTGAAAAAATTGAAATGAGATACTGTGTTAGCACCACTACGCCTGCTGATCAAACATTGGGTGCAGGTGTGGTACAGAATATAGAAGTAGCAGCAGAATAGGCGAGATGTCCTAGCAGGCTCTCGATGCGCCTGCTTATTTTACAAAATTTTATTTTTTTCTTCTTTCAAGATCGATGTTCAACAGGGAGGAAGTAGTAAAGCTATATATAAATTTAAAACAGAGAAGTCCATTAAGGCAACACCAAAAATACAGAAAACAGCATTGTTCACACATAAGTGAACCTAAGGCATGCTATTTCAATACAATGGGAAGTCATTCGTAGCAGAGGGAAAACAAACTAAAATCAATGACAGCATAGCACTTAATGAGAGACGCAAGAGTATAATAAAGGTGTTTATTTACAGACATAAAGTTCACACGTCAGCACTACCTTTTCCTTGCCACGTCTTCTTGAATAGCCTACTCCAGTCTTACTTAGTTCAGCTGAATTCCTGAGGCTGGTTATAGTATTTCCTATTTTCGACATGAATACCGCACTAAGGCAAAATTCATGAGGGTTTTGTGCTTTGGTCACTTTATAGTGACTAAATAAAGCTGCAGTCGAATTGAGCTACGAGAATTTATATGCATGTCTGGGGTACCTTTCTTGGATTAAGTGAATGCCACTTAACCTGGTGTACTCCAAGCTAAGTAACAATGATCTAATGTGAGTTTGACTAAGCTGTAAGTCAGCACTATAGCTTGTGAGGAAAGGATACATTTCAAACGAACTGTAGCCCTAAGAATTTAACCTATTTTGTTTGATACTTGGTGTACATGACAGTCCCACGGCAACATGAAGGAAAATGTGACTTCCAGGAATATGAACTGTCCTTTACTCACTAGCATCGTGCTTGCTGCCCGGATAACATCCATCCAACTGACAAATGATGACATTCGGGCACATTATGGTTTGGAACTTCAGGGAATGAAATCTTTTGTGCCCGCTGAAATAAAGCTGCTGCTGCCTAGTTGGTCGGCATATAGCACGCGCAGTGCCATCAATGAAGCCCCAGCAGTTGGTAAGTGGGGCTCCTTTAGCGTAAATGGCCTGAAAAACAAACGAAGAAAAGTCAGCAGGTATACCACAATCTCCGATTTGCACAAATGCAGCTTCCATTCTGCTGTCATTGCTCCTTACCTTCGGAAAATTCTCCAGCGTGTCGATGGTCACTGTGATTATTCACATCATACAGCAAGTGGAAAAACTTCTCATCGATGTGCCTCAAGACTTCTATCGTCAGGGACGATATTGTCGAGCTGTGTCGGTCGAAGAAGTTCTCGAGGTCTTTAAGTCGGTTCGGATAGGCCAGCCGTCGAAGAGTAATGCAGAGGGCTTCGTCTCCTGGGATCGGCAATCTCTGAGCAGTAATAACCATTTCTGGAATGCGCAAAGCTACTCGTACCTTCACTATAACCTCTTTCTCAAAACGAAAACAAGTTTGGAACATGCCGTTGTCCATAGCGTCAATGTTGAGCGGGCCACGGGAGGAAAGTGGTTCACAGTCTCGCCTAGCACCTCAAGTGCTACTAGATCTTCTATCTCCGACAATTTGAGTTGAGAGAGAAGCAAAGGGTCTTGCAATACGCTTCGCAGCATAGCGCCAACAGCAACGAATTGCAAAACACTGCAACAACGGTGCCGCTAAAAACACCCACTCGATTGCTTGGCTTGGCTTCACCTGCAACCTATCCGGGCCGACTTTTTTATTCCAACGTAGAACAGTTCGTAATGCATTCAAACCACTGCGAACATGAAGTCATGCAAAAAAAAAACGAAAATTTATTTCCACTTAACACCTGCTACGTAATAAAAAAGGCCTTTCGTAATATTCTTTTCGCAGTAACTTCAATTTAATTAGGCAGGCAACGCAGCAAAGACTCTGCTCGATCGAGAGTAACTTCAACGTTTTTCAGCAGATGGCGCAGCAATGCGATCCGCTGAAGCGAGACAGGCGACGCACTGCTATTACTCTTTTTTTCGTCTTGCGCTCCGCTGCCCTCTCCCCTCGTCCGCTGGACCCGCTGGCCCGCTGAGCCGCTTAGCTATTACTCGCTAATGGCAACAGCGCTATGTTTTTGTTACAATTTACAACCGCAAGGAAAAAAAACAACTCAGTGCACTGAGGAGCAGGTAGAGTTTATCGGCGGTTACTGCCAAGTTTATTATCCGTTTCTCGCTTGTTCGAAAGGGCGGTATCAGTTCAGGCTTTATGACGCTGCTATGCGCATTCGATAGATACGCCCACACAAGTGATTTTGATGTTTTTGGCGCAATGCACACCACAGGCGTGCCAGCGCACCGCTGTTGCTCTGTCGCTAGGAACAGCTACATAACAGCTTGTCCAAAACTAATGCAGTGCGCCAGAAACATTATGCTATCATATTGGTTCAGTAAGCATTCGAATTGACGTGTCTATGTTCTCACATAAGAGCCAGCGAAGCGTCGGCGAGTACGACCAGCCGCTGTCGGTGAGGCGAGGCGTACCTTTGGTGGAAGTGCTGCAAGCGCGTCGCATAGATGTTTGTCGCTTCTTGCGCGGACAGCGTACACAATAAAAAAGGCTTCATTTAGGGTAAATGATGCCGTATCTGTGCTGTATTGTCATTTTACTCGTCAAAATCATGTATTCTGAAAAACAGAAGCGCCGATAACACTTGTATGGGCTCGGTCGGTATGACTAACCATTGGTGAAAATCACGGTGGTAGAAAAGAAGGGTGAAAGTAAAATTCGCTGGGGCTCATCTCGACGAATGTCGAAAGTGAAAGTTTATGCATATTCGCACGCACTTTGTTAACTTAAAGGTACGGCTCAAACAATAGAGTGTGCAAGAATTACCAGAGTTGCGTTTCTAGCGTGGCGACATCAAGTGACCGCTGTGTTCTGCTTTAACCTTGAAAAAGGCAATTGCGAACTGGAGCCCATTCATTTGTCGACAACTGCTCACCGATGTAAAACATTTATTGTCATGTTCACAGTGACAACTCTAGTCTTCCAAACATCACAAGTTGGGTTTCCTCGGGGTCGAAATGTGTATTTCGCTCACTTACGTTAAGTACATAACTAAGCGTGTATCATCTGGAAACCCCACACGCGTCAGTTTGTCGTCCTACTACAAAAAATTTATAATATGCCTGTTCTATTTACCTTGGCAATTTCTGACAGTAGCCTCAGTGTCACTGAAAGTAAACGCGCTCTTCACTCGCAGGACTTGAAGGCCAACTGCAACAAAATTTGGCATCGGCATAGTTGGCTCGGAATGTGTGGAACATGCTGGGCAAGTAGCAAGAATGAAAGGCAGAAACCTTGAATTCGAGTATTTTATCTGTAATGAGTGCTCTAATCGTCAGCTAGCAGACGGCGCAATGCCCTAGCGGCACGTGGTAAAATCAAACGCACACAGAAATGACGTCAGTCACCGCTCTTCATCGCTCGTTATCAGAACCAGCAGGACTTCTTGCAGCCGCGCCCTTTTCTGCGTGACGCTCCTTACCAGCGGCTAATTCATTTCGTACTACTCCTTCGTAAAGCAAAATTAGGGGTCATACACGGATGAACACGTGTGTTAATTCTGGGAAAAACAATTCATGCTTTTCCAAACAAAAACATAAGGCTCTGACAGCTGCGGGCTATCGCCGTGGGGCAAAATATCTGGGAGATATCGAAGCGTGCGGTGTTCCACGCGGTGCAGTTCCTTCTCTGATGACGACTTTAAGTACGACCATTCGTTCTTCCCCCAAATGCAGTTGAAACTCAAAAGAATGTTGAATCCTGACTCAATGCATTCAGTGTTAAGTCACTGCGAACCCACCAGTGTAAAGCCCGACCAGCACTTGGAGATGCGCCGGTCAGCACAGGTATTCGTACTAGGCAGCTTTAGCACAACGTAAAATGTTCGCCAGAGCGTGTCCCGTTAATTAGGGAGGCAATCGCCGGGCTAAGTCTAAGGGCCGGCGAATCAGCCCCCCACACTACACCACGAAAGCACGGACAATTTAAATTTAGTAACTATTTGCCGCAACAGTGAACAGCCGGCTGTGATCCAAAGAACGAGTCAGAGCCGAGAGTTGATAGCAAGAAAGATATATTCTGAAACACGGCAGAGCAAACAATACACAAATATGCAGACTCGGCAATAGTCCAGTACAATATGCCACCAATCGCAAGCTCAATGGGCTACACAACGCAGAGAGGTATACTCACAACAACGGGCGTAAACAACAACACACGCTACAATGCAATCTCAAGCACAAACCAAGACACTTAAAGACCAAAAAGTTCGTCAAACTTATTCGGTCTAAATTACTTGTGACACAATTAGAATAATCCTCTTCCGGGAACCACTCTACCAAAGTCCAGCGCAGCTGTCGTTCCACTGCCCCCGAAGTTTTCTTTCCAGGAAACCTCGCGTCGTCAAATGTCCGCACTTCAAGTACCAAACTTCTTCGCCGGTAACACCTCGGCCTCTCACGCGCTGCGACTGCAGAACCCGTCTTTGCCGTCTGGCGCCAATCACATGTTCTTCTGAATGTAACACCATGACTGGGCTAGACTGCAATTGCATGCACTTCTTTCTTTGCGGCCTTCTCACCCATAGTGAATACCATGAGAGAGCTTCTGAGTATGTATCGCCGCCCGCCAATGGTAGGGGCGCAGAGACCCTGACATTGCTAGGGAGCCTTCATATGCACGCGTTTCCGTGTTTTAGGGTGGTGTCAGCCTTTGACCCACCACTTGCCGCTACCCGCTAAAGCACAATGTTGCCAGTCCCAGTTTCCGTTGCAACAGGCGCCATGTTGGTTCTTGTGGCCAGGCGTTCCTGCTCCGTCGCACTGCACCAGCTGCATGTTGGCGCGGGTGTGCAAGCTGCGGTATGAGCTGCGTTTGATTACCCCATAGACGTAGCTTCCGCTACGACACCATCCTTGCACCAAGCGCACCTACAAGAACATTGAAGTGTAAATGCCAGGGTGCTGCGTGCCACAATACAAAACTATCTGGAGACCTTCCCGCTTCCCGACTTGCTCTAGCCTACGGAAACGCTGGGCTACACAAGTGAAGCGAGACTGCTTGGAGGCGACTACTTCTCGCCGTGTTTGTGAGATGAGTACCCGTTGTGTTGCGATTGGGTTGAGTATATCACCGCACATTTCGTGAAATGGCTGATTTAGCCATGCAACGAGACGCAGTTTGAGCAAAGTAAGCATGACAACGTGTACAGTATAAGAATGAATTAGGCTTCGTTCGTCTACGCTGTGCGAGCGGGAGATGGCTGAGTATGCTTGTTTGTCCTTGTAGTCGAAGCGCAGTTCCTCAATCGATTGATTGATTGATTGATTGATTGATATGTGGGGTTTAACGTCCCAAAACCACCATATGATTATGAGAGACGCCGTAGGGGAGGGCTCCAAAAATTTCGACCACCTGGGGTTCTTTAACGTTCACCCAAATCTGAGCACACGGGCCTACAACATTTCCGCCTCCATCGGAAATGCAGCCGCCGCAGCCGGGATTCGATCCCGCGACCTGCGGGTCAGCAGCGGAGTACCTTAGCCACTAGACCAACGCGGCGGGGCGTTCCTCAATCGAATGATACGACTAGTCGAATGTGTGGTCCTGCATGCATTCACTATCTGCACTTTGGCGGTTTCTGAAGCCGTCACTGCATTCGTCGTGGAAAACGCCAGGCCCGTAAACCACCTACACACGCTCCCGTTAGGTTCTTTCTTTTCTGGCAGATGTTCGCATTCCTGCAATTTTACCTCGGTTGCTGAGGAAGGGCATTTGGAGAGGTAGACAGACGAGCCAATGAACGCGTTCACTGTAGGCGCTTGTCTTGCACAGTTGCAATGCAACTAACTTTTTGTGTGGCTTGCCATGGGGTATTCGTTCCTTCGCTTCAATGACACGCGCAACCACATCGAAACTCGCTCAATAATTGCAAACAGGACTTCTCTTTAATAACATAGAATGCGACAGATTTACTGTTCGTGTCCGTCCATCCTTCTGTCTATCGGTCGGTCCTGAACGGAGCAGTATATGTGCACTAAGCAAGTCGGTTGTCAGCCCGTAACTCAAATATGCCCTATGTGGTGCATCGTTATTTGTGTCGTCCTTTTGTTTCATAACCAGACACACAGATGATTTGATATCGTAAACTTCCCTTTTACTTAGTGCTTGT